CTGCTCATGATGAGGTAAGGCTGGTCTGAAAAGGAATTAATAGGGCACTCCACCATATCACCTAGCATTCGTTGATGTCATGAGTTTCAGTAGTTCTCGTAGCCTTAATGTGTATTTGATGTATTTTTTCCTAGTGAACTATTACTATAAAGACTAAATGTTTTTATAAGTTGAGAAATTTTTTCTCTAACAGGAATTATGGAAGTGATATGTGATATTTTGTATTAATTCTGTACAATGCTGTAGGAAGAAAATAACTCATTGGCATTGATCATGTCTCCAAGAGTGGTATGCACCTGGCTGTTCCCATAGGGATGTGAGCTCAGGCATCATATGGTGTTTCCCAGCCTTGTGCCTCTAGCACTTGTCTTAAGACCATATTAGAAATCTGCTTTAAAGCTACATTTCTCAGTAACCAGTTCAGTTAAGTTTTTGCAAGATACTTCTAGTGTTTAAAGTTTTTAATTCTTTTTTCAACATGCTGGCCGTCTCCCACCGAAGCAGGGTGACCCAAAAAAAGAAAGAAACACTTTCACTGCCATTAACACTCGCCATCATTTATACATAATCACTGTCTTTGCAGAGGTGCCCAGATATGACAGTTTAGATGTCACTCCAAATAGCCAATATCCCAAACCCCTCCTTTAAAGTGCAAGCATTGTACCTCCCACCTCCATGACTCAGGTCCAACTAAGTGATTTCTCAGAATCCCTTCACAAAATATTACCCTGCTCACACACACTAACAGCTCATCAGGTCCCAAAAACTATTCTTCTCCATTCACTCCTAACATGCTCATACATGCCTGTTGCATGTCCAGGCTCCTTGCACACCAAACCTCTTTTACCCCCTCCATCCTATCCTAGGATGACCCCTACCCCTTCTCCCCCTCCACTACAGATTTATACACCCCCCCCAGGTCATCTTGTTTTGTTCTATCCTGTCTAAATGACCAAACCACCTCAACAATCCCATGTGTTGGGCTAAACTGGAGTGGAAACAACAAGCAAATACAAGACCCAAAAATATGGATCTATCAGAAAATTCTAGGTTTCCTATCTGCCAACTACTTCAGAAATATTGTTAAAAAAATATCACCTGAATTAATGTAAAATTCCCATATATTTAAGCCCGTAATTGTTTTACATGATGGTAGGATTGCTGGTGTCCTTTTTTCTGTCTCGTAAACATGCAAGATTTCAGGTACGTCTTGCTACTTTACTTACACTTAGGTCACACACTACACATACATGTACAAGCATATATGAATTAAGACACATGTCAGCATCTGGTATCTTTATTATATAAAGATACCCAGATGTTGCACCAATTGTCCTTAATTTCATCTTGTCAGTATTGATACCATTCTTTCACAAGCATATATGTATAAAACACACCCCTCTGGATTTTCTTCTATTTTCTTCTATTTCTTGTTCTTGTTTATTGTCTTTTAAACCCTCCATGGGGAAGTGGAACAAAATTTCTTCCTCCGTAAGCCATGCGTGTCGTAAGAGGCGACTAAAATTTGCCGGGGCAAGGAGCTAGAAAACCCCTTCTCCTGTATAAATTACTAAATTTAAAAAGAGAAATTTTTGTTTTTCTTTTTGGGCCACCCTGCCTCTTTGGGATAGGGTCGGTTTGTTGAAAGAAGAAGAAGAATCAATCTATCTCATATAATCATATTGGTTCCTGCTATTTAAATTTCAAACAAGCAGGAACAAAACCATCCCCAATGTGTTTGTTAACAAAATGCAACAATTGACAGACAAATACTCTCCAGAACACTCTAGTTTTTGACATTGCAAAATTAGCAGATTCAGTTTAACCCTTTGAGGGTCAAACAGGCCCTCTCCGAAACTCATTCTCAGGGTCGGCCAAATTTCAAACATTATAGGCTAAACAAAAAAATTTTAATGTCAATACTTACCGAATATGGAGGCGTGAAAATTTCCCAAAAATTGAACAACATATGGTAACATCGCCGACTGCCGTCACCCGGTATTTTTCTTTACTTTTTTATGTACTATTTTCAATTATTTTTAAATTTTTCTTTTTCTGAGTAACTTTTATGGCCTCTGAGGCCAACATGATCAGTATTTTGTAATTTATTTCTTGTTAAATTTACTAACACAATAAGGGCAAAACCTGTTGTCATTATTTGGTTTACAGAAAATATTTACACAAACAAACGATATGAAATGTTGTTTATTACTTTTTTTTCTATATTTTATATACACATATACAGTTACAGGAATTTTTTCCCTAAAAGTTCTGAACCTGTGGAACTCTTTGAAACATGGTGTCATGCACTGTGGAGTTTTGCACTCCTCACACATAAAACGAGTGTCTCTCCCGTTGTTGTGTGCGTTTTTTTGTATGTGCACAGATGTAACACCTCTTCTGAGCCTTTTTCTTCAAAGCATTTGCAGGCAGTTTTACCAGGAAGTGATCACCATGCTTCAGACGAGAAGGTATTTTGTTGATAATTTGGTGGCGGTCAATTGCAGGTGCTGTTCCTTGGGTACTTGAATACTATTTGTCTGATGACAGACAAATAGAATTCCCCCAACTGTGGTTTGTTTCGGGTGCCCCATCTTATACATATTATAAGCATGAACATGGAAATGTCCAGAAGAGGGAAAAAAACAGTTTGATGTCCCACTTATAACTCTTGCGAACACAATCAGCAAACCCAATCTGAAATGTCACTTTGTCCACTGAACGCATGTTGAAGGTGTAATCAATCACAGCGCAGGTTTTTAGAATGGGTTTCATTCTCTCTCTATGCTGCCTGCCACTGCCCGCCTTTCATTAGGGTGAATTGATGACAACAGTGGGGACATCTCGTTTGTCACCCACCGAAATGCCTGTGTCATTGGCAGCAAACGCCTGCACCTCACCTCTAACAAGTGCCAGCGTCAAACCTGGGCATATTTTTTCGATTTGCACGCACTGTGCCACACACATCGTCATGTTAAACTCGCAAAAAATCACTGAGTAGGGGTTGTGTACCAAATTATCTGTAAATAATATATGCCCCTTACCAAGGTATGGTTCTATCTTTGTTCGAACCACATCACCTGAGATCCCCAAATTTAACTTCCTGGTATTTTGCAATGTATAACTTCCAGTGTACACAATAATATCCATACCAGCCCAAACTGTAACAATCACAAAGCACAAACAACTTTATACCAAAGCGTTTCCTCTTGCTTGGTATGTACTGCTTGAAAAGAGTCTTCCTTTGAACAGAATCAAAGACTCGTCAATTACAAGCTTCCTGAAGGATAAAAATGCTTACTGAATTCTGTTTCAGATACACAAACACATTCCTAATCTTATATTAACCTGTCATTTCTGTCAGGCCTGGTTTTATCTGAGAAGTGAGCATACGTAACATTAGCACAAATCGATTCACTGGCATTATATCACTGAAACCTGGTGTTGCAAACAGGGGGTCTGTTGACCATATGATTTCACTTTGTGCTTATACACATGTGGCATAAGCCTTATTGTGGCAAAGAAAAGATACATCTCAGCCACAGTTGCCTCCTTCCACTGGTGGGAGACTTTATTTTGGGAAAGTAATGTGTTTGCCATGGTGTACCCCGTAGTATGTGTTGCTTTCCATGACAATAAATTTTCATCAGTGGTTTTGTCAAAGAATAACTCGAAACATTCCAGTCAGTGGCATTGTTCCCAAGTGCACAAGATGCCGTATTCCACTTTGGCTGTCAATCAAACTGGTGGGGAATTGGAACAAAATTGACAGCTTCCCGCCAATCCCAGGGGCGGTCTGCTGGTGGGTACTGGACAATGACAGGTGGTTGTGGGTTGTGGAGGTTGTGGTTGTGGTTGTGGAGGCTGGTGTGGTGGGCGAGTGGGGGATGGTGGCCTTTGTTCTAGATCAGCTGAAAGGGAGCGGCGTGGGTGGCAGCATGGCCCATGCTGGTGCCTCACTGCCGGCACCACTACCACCACACACATTTTCCAAACCCAATTGCAACAGTATCTTCGTCATTTCACTGTCTGTTCCTGTTGTACAGCCACGGGATGTACTCCGAGATACACTCCTTCCCCCTTTGGGATAACATATGGCACACTACCAGAGCGCATATATCGTCGTATATACTGATGCTTCACTGGGGAATATTGCACTCACTATCACTACTGGAACTAGTTTGAAGAGCTTGAGTCATATTCACTATCACTATCATCACCCATGCTCTCATCTAAATCTGGGATTTGGGAAAATAGAAGTTTCCTCTTGGGTTCTGGAACAACTGAACGTGAACAAAAGGGCCCAGCACCAGAGGTGGAAGGCTGAGTCATCTGGGTTTTCCTCACTATTACCGATATTATGGTCATTAGTTTCGGTCAAAACCTCACTAAAACCACGAAACTCATCTTCACTGGCACTTCCATCACTATTAGAACTGTCACTGGGGAACAAACGTGTCCCAATTCGCCGAGGAGTGAGGAGCTTCTTACCGCGAGGCATGGTGGACATTGTTTACTAAGAGGGCATTCCCACAATGCACCACTGGGTCCCAGATTTTTTTTCTACTGCGCACACCGACCACGCAGACCCATTCTCTCACACCTAGGCCTACCAGCCTTTTCGCGCGAGATTTGAGGCCGCTAGAATTTATGCGTACTAGTACGTCAAAAACCCCTACGCGTAAGATGTACTAGTACGACCAAAACCCTCAAAGGGTTAACTCACAAACTCAATAGAATATCACTGTACCTGGGTGTCCTGGGGACACACCTGTCTCCTGACTTTCCTCAGTCTAAACCCCTCCGGAAATCTACTGTTTTAGACTTCACCTCTTGCATAGATGTTCCATTTACCACTCTTGAACTTGCATCAGCATTATCAGTGTTAGCCTCTGGCACTTGGGCCTGATGACATAAATGCTCTCATTCTTCAGCATTTTTGCTGTTTGGCATCAGACCTATTATCCTTCTTAAATCATGTTAGGTTTGCAGGAATGTTAACCCCAGCAATGAAAATCTGCTGTGGTCCTTCCTTTGTGAAAACCTGGTAAATCAGGCCATGATCCCTCATGTTTTGATGGAATGTACACTTAACAGGAGACTAATATGGAGTTTGGAGAACCACAGCTGTATACTGTCTCACCACTTGACCCCCACCTGAGTCAGACCATTTCCCTTCCCCATACAAATGATTCATTAAGCTTTAACGTCTTACCCTGTGCACCATACTGCAAACCTCTTAATAGGAAGTAGCTGAATAATAGACTTGTCAGGATACAGGGTTTTCTGGATTTTGGCACTGCAGTTGAAAAGTGAAATCTTGTTCATTCCTAGGATTCTTTCACTTAATGTTTTGCCATTGATAAGAGTCAGCAAAATCCTGGGCAGAGTTCTTTCTCCTAAGCTACTCTTATCTACTTACTGTTGTCAGCCTCATTGCCAATACATATATTCAACCTCATTAGATGATATCCAGCTCTAGTCTGCATCCTCGTTTACAAATATTGTATATTTAATTGTTAGGTTTTCCCTGGTAGGAATTCAGCACTTTTCTAGTTTTTTTTTTTTTTTTTTTTTTTTTTTTTTTTTTTTTTTTTTTTTTTTGTGTGTGTGTGTGTGTGTGTGTGTGTGTGTGTGTGTGTGTGTGTGTGTGTGTGTGTGTGTGTGTGTGTACCAAAAGTTCAGATAATTGAGGATAATCTATTGCAGGTGATATACTTATGATGGATGAAGAAGGCTACTTATACTTCAAGGATCGCACAGGAGATACATTCCGCTGGAAGGGCGAAAATGTTTCAACTAGTGAAGTGGAAGCAGTTATCTCTAAAACAGCCGGTCATGCAGATGTTGTAGTTTATGGAGTTGAGGTAGGTACTGTACTAGTCAATATACCCATGATGTATAACATTTTGTGTTGGATTTTACTTATTAGGAACTTGGGTAATCAGAGAACATTAAATATTAGATTTATGTGTGGTTTTCTTTCACATTCTCTATCATTTCTTTTGCATAATAAATATATCACACAAGAAAATTTTAAACCTGAATTTTGCGAGGACTTTCGTTTATTACATCATTGCACTCTTCAACTGATGAAATGTTGATCAGCTTTTCATTGTTTTCACAATCATGGCTAATGTGGTTCCTATATTCAAATCAGGGGATAAGTCCACTCCTTCAAATTACCGTCCAATAAGCCTGACATCTATAGTGGGCAAGTTATTAGAATCAGTTACAGCTGACATTATTAGAAGTCACCTTGAAGAGCATAATTTGATAAATGAATCTCAGCATGGATTCACGAGAGGTCATTCCTGCCTAATAAATTTACTGACGTTCTTCAATAGAACATTTGAGGCAGTTGACAATGATAAAGAATATGATATTGTTTATTTAGATTTTAGTAAAGCCTTTGATAGAGTACCTAACAAGAGAGACTTAAGAAAAGTGGCAGCTCATGGTATAGGAGGTAAAGTTCTAGCATGGATAGAGGCATGGCTTACAAATAGAAAGCAGAGAGTTACCATTAATGGGGTGAAATCTGAATGGGGATTAGTCACTAGTGGCATTCCACAAGGATCAGTTTTAAGCCCTCTCATGTTCATAATTTACATTAATGATTACCTTGATGAAGGGATTATGAGTGACACGAGTAAATTTGCCAATGATACAAAGATAGGCAGTATAATTCATTCTGAGGAGGATAGCAACGAACTCCAGGAGGATTTAGACAATTTAATGTCTTGGTCTGAAAAATGGCAGATGAAGTTCAATGTGGATAAGCGTAAGGTACTAGTCCTTGGTAATGAAAATAACCCTCGAAGCTATAATCTAAGTGAAGTAGAGCTTGATCATACAGAATGTGAAAAAGACTTTGGAGTCATGGTAAGCAGAAATCTAAAGCCAAGACAGCAGTGCCTCATTGTGTGCAACAAGGCTAACAGATTACTTGGATTTATCTCAAGAAGTATAAGTAACAGAAGTCCAAAAGTTATTTTACAGCTCTATACATCACTAGTGAGGCCTCATTTAGATTATGCTGCTCAGTTTTGGTCCCCTTACTACAGGATGGATATAGACTCATTAGAGAACATACAGAGAAGAATGACTAAAATAATTTACTGTGTGAGGAATCTCCCGTATGAAGATAGACTTAAAGCCTTAAATCTCCACTCTCTGGAGACACGTAGAATGAGGGGAGATATCACTGAAGTGTATAAGTGGATGAGGGTGCCGAACCAGGTAAGAACCAGAAATAATGGATTTAAGTTGGATAAATTTAGATTTAGAAAGGACATAGGTAAGTACTGGTTTTCTAACAGAGTTGTAGGTGTGTGGAACAATCTTCCCAGTTGGGTGATAGAGGCTAGGACCTTGGGTAGCTTTAAGAAGAGATTGGACAAATATACGAGTGGGAGGGGCTGGGTTTTGATTGGTGTCATTGGGTACGGGAGTTTATTTTTGGATAGCTTTAGGTAGTAGTCGTTTTGATAAGGACCTGCCTTGCATGGGCCAGTAGGCCTTCTGCAGTGTTCCTCCATTCTTATGTTCTTAAAGCCCGCCACTACAGTGAAGAGTGTCATGTGTTTCCCCGTGGACTGAACCAAGATGCCCTCCATCAAGCAACTTTACCAGCAAACTTAAGGAAGAATTGAGGGTTAGCGAAGATGGAGATACGGCGATTGACCAAGGAAAACAAGAGGATTCGTAGTAGTCCTCTTGTTTCGAGTCCTCAGGTCAAGAAGGGATCGTGGTCAGTGGCTGGAACAGCAGGGGACGACGAAGTTGACGATCAAGAAGACGAATGGAAAGCCAGAAACGATGAAGAAGAAAGAGACTGCTGTGGAAACTCCTGTGGAAACCTCCAACGCATTCTCAGTGCTACCCGACGAATGTGAGTCGACTACTGGGATCCGTCACGACGAACGACAACAAGGAAAGTAAGAAATATTGTTGTTGTAGGGGATAGCCAGGTTAGATACATGGATAGTGCATTCTGCTTGAAGGACAGGAGTAGGAGACAGAGGGTATGCTTTCCTGGGGCTGGGATGGAGGGCATTGTTAGCTGGCTTGACAACATCATGAACGGTAATGGGATCAATCCTATTATTTGCCTCAGTGCTGGAGGCAATGATGTAGGCAAGCGTAGAAGTGAGGATTTAGTTAAAAATTTCAGGACAGCTATAGACATAATTAGGAAGAAGTGGGGGCGCCCTGTTATATGTGGCATTTTGCCAAGAAGAGGTGTTGGTAATGAATGGTTGTCCAGAGCAATTGGTATAATTGTTGGCTGGATATAACACTGTAAGGATAATGCAGTACCATTCATTGACAACTGGGACAACTTCTATGGCCGAAATGACATGTATGCCAGGGATGGGGTTCCCTTATCCAGGGCAGGTGTGGGTTTTTCTTGCTAACTCAGTTGAGGGGGTTGTTAGGGCTTAAAACTAGGATTAGTTAGAGGTATGGGTTTAGAAATGAAAATAATCAGTATGGTTATTTGACTTATGCTCTGATATAAGAATCTTAATAGTAACTGTCATGGAGTAACTCGGGGTAATGATAAATTTCAGAAATTGTGTAAAAAACAAAGATGAATAGAAAAATGTGCAGAAGAAAAAAATATGATGGTATTTTATGCAAACCCGTCGAAGTGCAAGAAATAAAATTTAATGAACTACGTTTGGTAGCATGTGCTGGGAACCCTTTGATATCATTGCATTAAAACTGAAACGTGGTATGATTTAAAGAGTCGGGATATGACTGCTGAGTGTAATATTCAGGGATTTAAGTTGTTCAATGTGGATAGATCTAATGGGAAGGGGGAGGAGTTGCATTGTATGTTCGAGAAAATATTAATTGTTGCATGAAAACAGGTATAAAAATAGATGGAGCAGTAACAGAGTCTGTTTGGGTAGAGTTCGTGGAGGGTCAAGAAAAACTAATTCTAGGTGTAATATTTCGACCTCCAGGCTTGGATCACGATAGAGGGAGACTTCTTTGGGACAAAATTGTTAGGGCTTCTGGACACAGTAAACATAGTCATAGTAGGGGACTTTAACTTTAGTCAAATTGACTGGAATTCTTTGACAGGTAATCTAGAGTCCAGTGACTTTATGGAAACAGTTCAGGACTGTTTTCTGAAACAGAGCATAACAGAGCCTACCAGGGGTAATAATTTGCTAGACCTAGTCTTGTCAAATAAGGAAAACCCCGTGATAATCTGGAGATCACTGAAGAGCTTGGCGCAAGTGATCAAAAAATCCATCACTTTTAGCTTTAATTGGGAATGCAAGAAAATGATAATACAGAAAAAACCCCTGATTTTCGTTCTGCCGATTATAATGGACTTAGGGAACCTCTGTCTGTTTCTTGATTGGGGTTATCTAGCTAATGATTTTATTGACGATAATCATACTTATGAATATGAAGGGATCTGTTTTTATGATTGTTTTTTTAAATTTAATGTACACAGTGCCCAAGTATATACATTCCCCAGAGAGAAATTGGGTTTAATAATAACGATCCCAAAGGGGTTAACAGGAGGCTAAAGCATCTTTTAGGGGAGAAAAGGGAATTTATAGGCACATCAGAAGAGGAGAGGTTAACCTTACTGACCAATATGTTCAGCTTAAAAGAGAAGAAAAAAAGGCGATTAGAAAGGCAAAACTTGACTATGAAATTAGAGTTGCTAATGAATCAAAAAACTAATCCAAAGGGGGTTTTTTCAAGTGTATAGGACGAAGGTGAAGGAAAAAGTAGGACCTCTGAAAACTGGGAATGGACAAACTGACGGATATTGAACTGGAAATGTGTTTTCCTTATTTAATGAAATTTTTTTGTCAGTTTTTACACAGGAAGATGTAAATGAGATTCCAGTAATTAACAATTGTTTATTCCTGATGAGTTTAAGTTAAAATAATATTACTGTCACGAGGGTCATTGGTTATTAAACAGAGAGACAAACTGAAACAAAATAAGTCCCCGGGACCCGATGAGTTTTTTCCAGGGTACTTAAAGGAATGCAAGATGGAGTTTAGTCACCCAAATTTAAAGAGTGTATTCAATGCGTCCATCCTTACCGGTGTTGTGGAAGATGGCTATGTGGTTCCTATATTCAAATCAGGGGATAAGTTCCACTCCTTCAAATTACCCTCCAATAAGCCTGACATCTAAAAGTGGGCAAGTTTTAGAATCAATTATAGCTGACATTATCAGAAGTCACCTTGAAGAGCATAACTTGATAAATGAATCTCAGCATGGATTCACGAGAGGTCGTTCCTGCCTGACAAACTTACTGACGTTCTTCAATAGAACATTTGAGGCAGTTGACAGAGATAAGGAATATGATATTGTTTATTTGGATTTTAGTAAAGCCTTCGATAGAGTACCTAACAAGAGACTCTTAAGAAAAGTGGCAGCTCATGGTAGAGGAGGTAAAGTTCTAGCATGGATTGAGGCATGGCTTACCAATAGAAAGCAGAGAGTTACCATTAATGGAGTGAAATCTGAATGGGGATTAGTCACTAGTGGCATTCCACAAGGATTAGTTTCAGACCCTCTCTTGTTCATAATTTACATTAATGACCTTGATGAAGGGATTACGAGTGACATGAGTAAATTTGCTGATGATACAAAGATAGGCCGTATAATTCACTCTGAGGAGGATATCAATGAACTCCAGGACGATTTGGACAAATTAATGTCTTGGTCTGAAAAATGGCAGATGAAGTTCAATGTGGATAAGTGTAAGGTACTTGCCCTTGGTAATGAAAATAACCCTCGAAGCTATAATCTAGGTGAAGTAGAGCTTGATCATACAGAATGTGAAAAAGACTTGGGAGTCATGGTAAGCAGAAATCTA